CACTATATTGTACACTATAAATATGTGAGTTTTAGGATATGTAAGTTATTCTTTTAAAAATATTACCAGCCTAGGAAAAAGACTGGAAGCTTTCTACCACTTTTGGAACCCATGGCCTGAATGTCTCAGCAGAGAAGCTGGATATGCAACATATGTATGTATGATACTGTCCCTGGGACACAAGTGTCCACTCAGATTGGACTGACAGTGATGCCACAGAAAGTTTAAGTGGCCAGTCCACTGCCATCACCAAGGGGAGGGCTCAGAGTAGCTCTGCAGAGCTTGATGGCAAAATGAAAGAAAGGTATTGCTTCCCTGGGAAAGAAGTACAGAAGCCACTGTCTCCAGAGAGCCCAGTGCACATGCCCCTGGCCTGCCCCGAGAACTGGAAAAGTACATGTGCTTCACCACTCACTAACCCTCCCTGTCACTCTCTCCCCAGGATCCCAGCACCTTGGAATGCGACAAGCTTTCCTCGGACTCCCCTTGACTTGCTTGATGTAGATCTTGGTTAATTTCAGGAGAGTCCATCGTTGTGGGTTCAAAGAAAAGGTGTATGTGTTGCCTTTACACATTGACACAATACTTTCCTTTACACCTGGGGATTTCTGGACTGCTACCGGAGTGCTAGAGCTTGACAAATTGGTAGAGACTTAGAAATTCTGAAACCGTTTTTAGAAAATGCTTACAATGATGAAGACAGAAGGCACTAAGCCTCCAGTGTTCGACTCCCCAACTCTGCAGGACCTGATCTCCTCCATCTTCTCACGTGGCATGTCTACCATGGCCATGTACAGCGCTGGCCCTGTGGCAGACACAGATGTCAGCACTACACTATCCTTGGCATTGAAGGCTGTATAGCCCATGGGAACAGTATCAGATCCCCAAAAACTTCAGTACAAGCCATATACCAAAGCAGTGTAAAAAAATAAAAATAAAAAAGTTCTGGTTCTCAGAAGTCAAGAAAAGCATGTCCAACTGGAAATGCCATGAAAGCCTTCATAAGTGGCACTGAGAAAGAATTAACATTTCTACCGGTGATGGTGAGGTAGGACTCCAGATCAAGACTCAGTATGATCACAGCCATGTTGGGGAGAGAAAGGAGTGCAAGAGAGCCTTAAAGGGCAGAGGATAAGGAATACTCCAAAAATGGGCCACGAGAGGTCCACTGGGACTGTAAATGCCAAGCAGCAGACCTCCTAGTGAATTCTGCAGACCATGGATGAGCCTCTGGTGGGGTTCCACACTAGGGCTAGTAATCAAGATTTCTCTGTTGAGGATGTCCACTGCCCTCAGCTGAGGGGGATAGCCAGATGCCTGCTCTGGTTTCAACTGAATGCACTGTAGCACATCAGTGCAGAGAAGGTACTCTACAAGAGGGGGCTGAAAAAGATAAAGTCACAGTCTTGTGTCTTTAAGAGCCTTGCAGTTTAGGAACAAGGGAGAGAGAAGCAAAGAGGAAATCAGACAGGTATCTGCAAATGCAGCACAGCATGGGAGTGGTAAAAAGATCATCACAGGAGTCTTAACGAAGTGATCTGCCCTTCTGAGGGGTGGGGTACACCTACTTATTAAACTTCTCCAGGATAGGGACCCAGCTTTATTCATCTCTGCATAACCTGCGTCTAGCTCAGTGCCTGGCATCTGGTAACATTCATGAAATGAATGAATGTATGAATGAATGAATGAATGAATGAATGAACAAATAAACACTTCCCTGCCATGCATTATCTGCCCAGGATGTCTGTTATAAAATCACATAGTACTGCCTAACTTTAGTTCACACTATTCTTCTCTCTTCCCACCCTTATTTTGCTCACCTCAATCCTCCTTCCTGCCAACAGCTGGCCCACACTATTTTCCTGGACTCTGATTCTTTCAGTAATGACAGCGTCTGTGCTGTGCAATTTAAGTGTCCTGTATTCCATGCAGCTGCTTCCTGTGTGCTAGTCATGCAAACCCCCTTCCTGAATGATTGTGTGGCTCAGAGCACTTAGAATACTCGGACTGTTGATGCTGTTATTGGAGGAGGGGGCAGAACCTGAGGTTACAGAGTGTCAGGCATTGTATTGGTGCTTGAAAAGTCACATAGAGCCTGGGTCAAGTAGCCTAGTGAAGGAAAATCTGGGAGATGGAACAATTTTGCTACCTGAACAGCTTTACACAGAGCCTAGTACGCAAGGCTCTCCATCTCTCAAGAGAGAACAGGAAGCGTGTCTGTCCTTAAGTGTGAGCCCTCTCTTTCTGAAAATCCTTAAATATACAGGAGAGCATCTGTCCAGAGAGCTGAGGCTGCAGGGTAAGCTGACCTTCTCCTGTGCCCTGGCGGGTGCAGAGTTCATCCTCACTGTCCTTGTCAGAAAAGAAAAGACAGTCAGTGGGAAAGTGTCTTAGAGGAATTGTTGACTTACCCTTTTGCTTTACGATCTTCTGAAGGTAGTGAATAAGGTTCAAGGACATTAGCTGACTGCAGATAGACCTATGCTCCTGCGTAGAGAAATAAGGTAGGTTCTTACTACAGTCCAGCTCATTTTTCCAAGAATTATGTATTCCATGGTCGGATAATGACCCTCAAGCCTTTTTAACTACATCTCGTAAAAAGCTGATATAACGCCTTCTACATCAGACTGTACATTCCCTGCAGTGATTAATGCTACCTGCATGAGTAATGCTGCCTTCCTACCTAGACTGTCTGGGGTGGGTGTCAAGTCCAATTATTTTTCCTGCTAGAAAGTGCTCAATATATGCGTTAATAACAACTAACTTTACACAATAATTTGCAAGTACTTTCCCCACACATTTCTGAATTTACTCCTCACAACAATCCTGTGAGGCAGGTACTCCCGTTTCTAGATAAAGAAACCAATGCTCACCCAGTACCATGTAGCCAGTAAGGGAGTGAGCATTCTTTCCAATACACTTTGTTACTTCAATGAACTATAGGGCCTTTAAAAAGTCAGCTCAGTCTTGTCCTCCTTAAAAAAAAAAAAAAAAAAAAAGGACCCGTTCAGTCCTCAACCCCTTTGTACACAAACACGATGAGGCAGCATAATTAAACTATTTCACGCCTGTAATCCCAGCACTGGGGAGCTCAGGCAGCAGGATTGTTGCGAGTTGTTGCGAGATTGTTTCGAGGCCAGCCTGAACTGCATAGTGAGACCCTGTCTCAAAAAGGCAAAAAAAAAAAAAAAAAAAAAAAAAAAAAATTCAGGGTCAGGCACATTAAGTGCAAGCTTATTATAGTGAGTGAATAAATGAATGCGTTATTCAGTAGGTGCTCTGTATAGTCAGCGGAAAACAAACAAGGGGAAGGAGAAACTTCCATTCAAAGCTTTTATCTGGAAACGACTGGGTGGCAGAGCACTGGGGACCAACTTGTTCGCAAGAGACAGACGTAAAATAACTAATATTACAGGAAACGATTCGTGATTTTTGTTAAATGCTACTGGAAGTGCGTAGCAGGGAGATGTGGTCTAAAGAAAAACGATTTGCGCTCCGTGTAGGAAGGCTGTCCTCTTTTGGTCAAAGGAGGATACGTTCAGATCGCCAGAAGCTTCAAGCAAGTGGAGACAAATTAAAAAGGCAGAAAGAGGAAAGAAATTGCTTCTCGCAAACAGAACTTTACTTTAGCGACTGTAACTCTCCGGTCCCTCTGCCTGGCTACTTGCCTGAGAAAAGGGGAACAGAAAAAGCTTGGTAAGAGAGAAGCCAAAGACTAGTTTTATAAGCACGGACGCAGGGAAGGACAGATTGGGACCAGTGAGGATAGAGTTAACCCGCGGTGGCTGGGGGAAAGGGTTAAGAAGGGCAGTGCGGAATGGTCCGGCAGGGCCCGCCCACCTTTAGGCCGTTCGGGGGGCGGGGCTTCGCCAAGTACGCCCGTGGATTGGCTGTGCGGAAGGCGTTCTGCTTGGACCGTACCAACAGTCGGGATCCGCGGAGGCGGGGGGGTGTGTGGAGCGGCCGGCACAGCTCCGGGAGAGGCAGCCGCGGAATGGCCGGGCCGAGGGTGGGCGGGAACCGCAGTGGCGAAGGCGGCTGGGGCCCGTGAGAGCGGAGTGGGGCTGCCCCTCCCCGGAGGCGGCGGGGGC